CCTTTTTGCGCCAGCCCGCGGTGCCACTACCACCTCCGGATGCCCCCCCCCGCAACATCACAGCAACATTTTCCACAGAACACGACGCAGCAGGTCGCAGCCTGCCTCACAATTTTTTTGGACACAGCCCCAATGCCAGCCACCTCACTGGCACTGGCTGGCTCACCTCCACTCAGTCAGGGGGGGGCTTGGCTTGGCTTCGGCAACCGTGTTGGCACCCTCCGCCGTTACAACAGCAAGCTCCGGAAGCATTCGCGCAGCTACTCCACCAGTTGCAAGCTGACGACCCACGGTCACCCGCGGTGGAAGCGGACCAACACGCGGCCACTCTCATCCAAAACTACGGTTGGCAGCCGCCAGAATGGCAACATATTGCAGACGGGTTGGCGCCCCCCCGCCACCACAACAGCCTCGAAGACGGCATCGCCTTGGGGAGGGGATGGCAACACAAAGCAGCAACAACCACCCACACAGCATTCCGAGCTGATGGCCGCCAACGGCTAGACCCCGGGAGCCAAGCCCTGCTCGAGTCCCAAAGAGGGCCACACGCCAGCCGAGCATTCACTACAATCCCCTATCACAATGACAGCAGCTACTACCCCAGTCACCTTTTCCGCCTGCTTCTCTTGAGGCGCTTTCGCCTGCCACTGCCCTTATCTGCCCGCTTCTGCCGGTGCCGTCGCACTTTGGACTCTCTTGGCGACCACCGCGCGGCTTGTGCACAGTCGGGACTATTGCGGCGGGCGCGGGGAGGGCCTTTGGAACGGGCAGCAGGCCGCATATGCCGGGAAGCGGGGGCACGGGTCACCACAAACACCCGCTTGGTCGACCTCAACCTCGAACACATCGACCGCCAAGATGACAGAAAAATCAAGGTCATAGCAAACGGGTTACCCCTGTGGGGGGCGGAGCCAGCTCGCAGTGGACACGACCCTTGTCTCACCACTGACGCGAGAAGGGGTGCCAAGACAACGAGGGGGGGCTTTTGCTGGGACAACTCTTCGGGACGCCCGTCGCACAAAAGAGCACACATACCCAGAACTGCTCCGCAGCCGACGTTGCTGAACATGCTGCCCAGCAAGCCTTTGCGGCATCCTTTTTCGAAACTTCACAAAGCCTCGCCAACCATACGAACACCGAAGGTAATCAGCCCACATTCAGCCAACTTCTTGCCGAAGCGCCCCCCCAACCGGCTCTTCCCCACACTCGGCATCTCATTCCCCAAAGGGGTTTGGATTTTAGCCCCTCCAAAGCACATCTGGAGACTGGCCAGTACAAACTGTATAAACACAGTCCGCAGCGAGCTTGACTTGGACCTCACGCGGAAAAAGGATGAAAAAAAGTGCGCGGAGAAAAAAGGTGCGGATGTTTTGGCTTAGTAGCCTGAGCGCCTTCGTGTCGGACAGGTCTCGGATCCGCGGACATCGAATGTTTTGGACAGTGGAAGTCTCGACAGTGAGTGAGGTCTTGGACCTGCTGTTTTTTTTCTCCCGAAAGCATTGCGAAGGGCTCTTCCGGAAAATCGCTTGAACACTGACACTTCGACACTTACACTTACACACTGACACTTCCACCACATTCGCATACATACACTGACACTTCGACACTGACACTTACACATACACACTGACACTCGGCAAGCACGCAGTGTAAGTATGCAAGTGATGGGTACGCAAACATGCTTTGAGCATGCAAGCATGCAATGAGTAGGCAAGTGTGAGTATGGAAAACTAGCACGGGAGATGTCCTAATGAAAAAACATTTCCCCATTTTATAAATTCTCTCTTAAAGACGGAGGGCGGGACGAACAGCGTCAACCGAAAGTGCAACCCTCTGCGGAGATCGTGCGTGTCGAGTGCGCGAAATGCAGGCGAGAGTGCGATTTGTCCGGTCCGCGCGCAACC